GAGGTTTGGTGTAATTATTGTTGTTTTGTTCAGTTGCCATTGTGTTTTCTTTCTGGATCTTTTCCTGACACGGTTAAGTGTTTGCGCTCAGAGTCAAGCTCTGATACCAATTGAAGGGTGAGAAAACACTTAGAAGGGGGGGGGGGTTGAATAAGTTTCTCTTTTTCTTTTTCTTAAAGGCTCAACAATAATGGAAATACACAGTTATTTTTATCCTGGTTCGTTTGAACTCAAACTACTCTAGTCCACCCGCCAAGGCGATTTCGCCTTTCTCAACAAGAACTTAATTCACTATAATAAAATAGATTACAATCACACAACCAAACTGTTATGACTAACAATTCAAAGCACAAGTAAACTTACAAGTGACTAACACCACTAAGACTCAAACTAGTCCCACCCTTCTTGAGAAATCTGACCAAGGTTGGTCTCTCAAGCAACAAATACAAGAATTAAATCTTTACAGATAGTGAAACAAATTGCTTCTTAGAAAGCTATATCACAAACTGTGATTTTTCACTTAGATTAATTTTGCACAAAGTGTTTGTAAAATGATTTGTGAGCAGTAGAATATTTTCACGTAGTTGGGTAGTTGGCTTGCAATAAATGATCTTTTATTTATAGCATGAAGAAAATGACCGTTGCTGCCTTCAAAAGTGGAGAGAAATTAATGTTTACGTGTTTGCTTGCAGTATTGCATTTTCCAATGAACTAGCGTAGACACTTGAGTGCATGTAGCCGTATTTGCATTAAATGAACAAATGACACTTGTCAGAGCATGTTTCCTGAAACTTGACAAGACTTGTTAGCTTCTTTATTCTATCAGAACTAGCTTCACATCTTGCTTCAGAATATGCTTGCAAATAACTTCTTATCAGCGCTTGCTTTCAAAGTACTTCTGAACATAGTTTACATGGAAACTTGCTAAGCTTTAGAAGATGCATAAAATAGTTTCCTATCAGAGTCAGCATCAGAACTTGCACTAAAACAAATAGTTCTTTCATCAAAGAACTTCTTCATTTATTTTCAGCTCAGCATGTCAAAATGATTTTCATCTAAGAAAATACTTCAGTCAGAACATTATCTGAAACAAATAAATATGTTCATCAGAGTATCAATTATATAAAATATATTTTATTGTTATCATCAAAACTCTGAGATATGATCAGAAACAATCTTGTTCTAACAAGTATGTCAAACATTATTTCAAAACTTAAGGCACTAAAGCTTGAGTTGTCTGAAAACTTGCTCATTCATTTAGTATTACTTTCTCTTCCTTCACAATATAGTCAGTTTAAGAGATCTTATAACTTTCAGAAGGAGAAATGGTCTCTTAATGAGCTCATTTCATTTTGTGTGCAAGAAGAGGAAGGATGAAACAAGATAAGACTGAAAATGCTGATTTTGTTAGCACCTCTAAAGACAAGGGCAGAAAGAAAACTTATGAGCCTGAGAATGAAGCTGTAATTATTTCAGCATAAAAGAAGCAAAAAAACATGATAATTGTTTCTTTTGCAAATCGTCTGGACATGTAAAAAAGAAATGTCCTAAATATCATGTTTGGCATGCAAAGAAAGGTATAATTCATACTTTGGTCTGTTCTAAGGTCAATTAAGCTTCAGTGCCTAGAAACACTTGGTGGTTAGACTCAGGTATAACTACTAACATCAGTGGTTCAATGCAGGATTTCCTGAACTACCAGAAGTCAAATAATGTTAAAAGATACATCTATGTTGGAGATGGCAAGTCAGTGGAGGTGGAAGTTGTATGGAATTTTAGATTATTATTATTATTATGTATTGAAATTTTATTTGGATTTAAAAGACATTTTTGTTGTATCGTTATTTAGACGGAATTTAATTTCAATTTCTTTATTGGACAAATTGGGTTATTTGTGTTTATTTGGGAATAATATGTTTAAGTTGTATTTTAATTTAAATACTGTTGGGATTGGTTCACTTATGATTCATGATAATCTATATTTGCTTTACACAATAGAATCCTATAGAAATTTTTTGAATAGCTGAGGCAAGGCCTTATAAGCCAAATGAAATTAAATTGCACTCTCAAACAGTGAGAAACTACTTTATTGGTTATTCTTAAAGATCTAGAGGCTACAAACTTTATGATCCCAAATTTAATTTAATTTTTGAGATAGGAACAACCTCATTTTTTAGGATATTGAGTTTGGGGAAAAAAATAAGGTTATAGACTTTGTTTTAGAGGAAGAATCAGTAACAATTTCAGATTTGATTCATACAGTTGTTTTTGATCAAGTAAGGATGGAACCTCCACAAGACATTGTTTATTTTCCTCCTACTCAAGATGATTTGATAATTCATGAAGAACAAACTCAGAATCCTCAATAACAAGTGTTACAAGAACCAATACCTTTGCAAAGATCCATTAGAGAAAAGGATAAATGCTATTCCGGATGATTACATAGAATTTCTTCAAGAACATGAGGAAAGTAATGGTAAGTGGATTGAAGCAATGAAGTAGGAGTATAAGTTCATGCAAGACAATAAAGTTTGAGAACTTGTCCCATTACCAGAAGGTGTGAAACCCATTGGTTGCAAATGAAATTTTAAGACCAAACAGGATTCTAATGGTAATGTGAAAATGTATAAAACTCGTCTTTTGGTTAAGGGTTATACTCAAAAGGAAGGTATTGACTTTAAAGAGACTTTCTCTCTGGTTTTATCGAAAGACTCTTTTAAGACAATCATGGATCTCGTTGCACATTATAATCTAGAAATCCATCAAATGGATGTCAAGACGACATTCATCAATAGATGTTAGGTAGATATTTGAGCAATTCAGGAATGGATCATTAGAAAGCAACCAAAAAGTTATAAGGTATTTAAAGAAAACAAAAGACTATATGCTCACATATAGGAGGTTAGACCAGTTAGAGATCACTTGATAATATGACTCAAATTTTGTTGGATGCCAAAAGAGCAAAAGACCCACACTATATATACATGTTGACAGGTGGTGCAGTGTCTTGGCGCAGTGTCAAGATAGCTCTAACGGCTTCATGCACCATGGCAACATAGTTTATAGCATGTTATGAGGCATCCAACCATAATATTTGGCTGAGGTATGTTGTCACTGGGATGTTAATTATGGAAATAATTGAAAGACCACTTAAGTTATATTGTGACAATAAATCAGCCATCCTGTAACAATAATAGGAGCTCAGCCAAGTAAAAATATATTGACATCAAATTCCTAGTTGGTAAATAAAAGGATACAAAGTGGACATATTTTTATAGAACATTTGGGGACAAACTCCATGATAGTAGACTCTCTTACAAAAGATCTCTCGCTCAAGGTCTTTCATGAGCACACTGCTCACATGAGTGTTAATCTTTAGAGGAGTCTTTGATTTAGTGGGAGTTAGTCAATTATGAATTTTATGTTCTATTTTTGGTATTATGTATGCATACAATAATTTTGGATATTTTTCAAATTATTTAACTTTTGATATTCAGCAGTTTACATTTTGTACAATAAAGTTATTGAATGATTTCACTAAAGTAAAGTAGGACCAATTGAAAATCGACATATACAGACCAAATTCATGTGATTTTCATGCTACATATTTCATGATGGATCTATGTCATTTAGTTGTGTCACTTTTGGTGATCATTGATGAGTTTAGTTATGATTGCTATAACGAAAATCACTTTGGTTCTGAATAGTGACATGATTAATAGACGAGTTAATTTAGATACGCTTAAGGAATATAATGGTGTATTTTGAACTCATAAAGTCTAACACATGTATATGATCACATATGTGACCAGTGGGAGATTGTTAGAATTTTGGGTCACAAATATAACATTTAAGGTGTCAGTGCCATTATTTTAATTAGTCAATACTTAAAAGGGTTTAATTAATATAATATTAAGTTTGTGGCTAAAAGCATAAATGTCATGAAAGGTCAGGTTATTATGTAGATACCATAAGTCAATATCTAATTTGATGAGGGGTCAAATTAGAATATTGAATAATAAGAAATAATCTTAAGGTTATTTATAAGGGTTATAGTCCCCATTTGTAGATAATGCAAAATGACTTATCTGTAATTCTCTCTTCATCCACATTAGAGGAGAATCAAAGAGCCGTAAGAAACTCTACAAATTAAAAGATCACATACCCGTAAACCTTCGCTGATTCTCAATAACAAATTCAGATACACTTCTGCTTTCATACTCATAATTGTATTCAGATATGAATTTAATAGTTTTATTTAGAATTCTGTTTTTTTATTTCTATATTAATAGAAATGATAAGGTTTCTGAAAAGATCTAACAATAATTTAATAAAATAAAGAAATTTATCCTCACTTGTTTATAATCAATTTTGATGTTACAATGTCTGATCTAAATGGCAAATGAGATCAAATGAATCATTATCTCAATCACTATGACACAAAAAATATGGTTAATATAGAATATCGTTGTTCGTTAGTCATAAATGAAGAACATATCCGGCTCACTAACATGCGATTTCAAAACCACGGTGATATTAGAATCACGTTTTTGATATTTGGCTAATATAGTTCTTATGAACTAAACTAATTAGATGTTTCTTTGGTTAAATGCTAATTTGCTTAATCTATAAATTTATTTATATTTAATTAATATTTTCAATTTTTCATATCTAATTGTTGGTGATTGACATGTAACTTATAGTTAAACTAATATGATACCCGTACGTTTGCACGAGTACCGATCTGACAGTTTCATTGAATTTAGTCGAGTTTATTTTGAAAGAAAAAATAATTAAATATTATAATATTATCTATAATAAAAAATAATTTAAATAAAATAATAATTAAATTTGTAAAAATTCTATTTTGCATTGTTAGTTTGTGATGAGTATAAAACAATAAAATGAAATAGTTTTAATTAAAAAAATAATATAAAATTGAAATAGTAACAAAAACATATCATTCTTATTTAAAATGGCAATCTTACTGAATTTGTGTTCTAAGTGTTCATTATAGACCTAGAAGATGCCACAGATCCATAAAAGTTTCCAAAAGCAAAAGGGTCAACATTATTCAGTCCATATCCATCACCTGATAATAAAATTGTTACCCATTATGACAAATGTTAATTTCTAAAGCCAAAAAATATAGACATATACCCAGACAGATAGACATACCAACAAATAATATTAATATTAACTAAAAAAGGTGATACAACTAAACTAAGTAAGAAAGATTACCCTGCACTACTGGTTTGTGATTGTGGTCATAACTTGAGGTATAGCCATCAAAAGTGCCTGGTTCATTAGCAAGTTGGACATTGTTACCAATCAAGCCCAACCCACTATTTATAGCACCAAGATGATTAATAATGGTGATTTGATGAAAGTATTTGAACCACTATTTTATCATTAAATAGAAAACTCAACAAGCCAATTGAATCACAAAATTACGGAAAATGTAAAGAGATATAGAGAAAGAAAAATAATACACAGGCAGTTTGGTAAGGAAGTTCTCCACTGTCGTTCTCGCGTGTGGGTACGTCTCCCTCTCAATTCCAAAATTGAAATTGAGAACTCTTATATCAATTTTGCTGAAAGTTTGTATACAAGGTTATACTACAAAGACATAATTAAATCCCTATGATCTTCTTCTTCTTGTAAGAACCTCCACTTGATATGAGCCTATCAAAATTCCCTGCAAGATCCACAATCAATCATCCGCTTCCACGACCTGTTTGCAAAAATCCCTTTGATTTCCAAACTCCTCACTACGGCTGAATCTGACTTGTGCGACCGTGACTAACAAACCCTCAAGAACACACCAGCTCTTGAAGGACAAACCCTTGGTTTTTCCTCGAAGCCCCCTTCTGAATCTTCAACCCAGCCGAGATCCCTTGAATGAACAACTGAACGTTATCTCTTGATCTCTTGATCCAATTGACTGCAACGACTAAGTCTTCTCCCCATATTTGACCATTCCTGCATTTATAATAGGAACATTGACATATTTAAGGGGATGAGTGTTCCATGATCGGTAAATAACATAAACTGTAATTGCTAGCTGGTAGAGTAACTACAGCATATGTCGTGGCCATAGTTGGTTGTCCTCAAGGGAGTATGTAGGGAAACCATTTCAACTAAAGTACGGGAAGAAACTCAATTCAGCAGTTTCGGTAAAACTAAATTTGTTTCTATACAATAAATCTTGAAAAAATATTTTAGCACCTCATTTCATTCATCATTTACAATCACATCCAATAGACACTATTTAAATGATTTTAAAGAAGTCTTGCCATTGCAAATGCTCAAGTATTTATAAACAAAAATCGTACTTAAATCAAGGATACCTAATTGGCTTGATTAGTTAAGTATTACTAAACTTAACATGTTCAAAGTATGAGGAAAGAAAGTTGAGCATTTAATTAAAATAAATTTATATATCAGGACAATTGACAATGACAGGATTAAATATCTCTTTAGAAAGTTGCTACTTACTTGCTAGCAACTTGCAAGCTAACAAATAGGAAATTTCTTGAAGGAAAACTCATTAGATGACACAAAAGGCTTGATAAGCAGGAAGTCATGCATGACATAAGCCTCTATGGTTCTAAGCCTCTGTTCCACATTACATAGAAGTCTACTAATAAGATCCTTTGCCTCTTCTAATAGTTTAGCTTCTTCTGGATATTTTAAATAATTTCTCCAATTGACTATATGAAAATGTGAAGGTAGGAGATACAATATAATGATAAAGATTTAAAAAATCATAGGCAGTAAAAAGGAAGAAGATAGAACCATAATATAACTTTAATAACTGACATGTGTCATCAAACTATAAATTATAAAATATCAGTACTGGTCAATAGGTTCAAATATATCATGAGCCACATCCTTGATACAACAATATCCTAAAAACATGGTAGCAGTAAAATATAATACTCTTCCTAAACCCTTAAAATGATACCAAAATCTTCATGAAGAATATATAAAACAGAATGAATAATATACCAAAATTGTCTTCACAAACAGCTGCAAGGTGCTCTCTGTGACAGGTTTCAACAGCCAGCTCAACGAATTCGCGCGATCGATGAAAAGAGATAACACGGTAAGATTTTTTGTCCAAATAGAATTTAGCAAGATAAAATGAATTTGTATAGTGTTAAAAAGATGTTGCAGTTCACCATTAGTAGCAGCAACAACAACTTTCTCAGGTGTAGTCGGCTTATTTTCTGTAGAATCTGCGATGGTAGAAGCAGTTGGTATTATATTTAAATAATACAGCAGCAAAAATGTATAGCATACCACATCATCACAAACAAAATCAAGCTCTTTCGTAAAGTTTTATTTTCGCTTCTCCATCTCCGCAGTAGACTAGAGTGAACACGAATATATCGAAGCATAATATCACAACAGTCAATATGCTTGAAGAAAATAACAACTTGATAGATAATTTCAAGATTGACACTGTTATATCCGCAAAATAGCTCTTTAGTGAAGGTGTTATAAACATGTAGGAAACGTACCGCTCTCTCGAACCATCAGTTTGACGACACCGATATACCAAAATCTTCAACACTTGTTGCCGTTGGTGAGGAATATGTTGGAACACTGAGAATTTACATTAAATTGCATTCAATAAACATCACACGAATTTCATTTCATTTTTTTAGTATAAGAGAATATGTAACATCTTAAGATCTCGGTGGATTACACGGTTAGAATGCAAGTAGACTACCGCTATCAACAGTTGAGTTAGCCACTTTCAGACCTTCTGCACTTCAAATTGGAATTCCATAGTGAGTAATGAATATTCATAATGAAATGTTTAGGATTTGACGATTAAGCTATTAATTACCTCCTCTGTAAAAAACGATTTGCGAGCTTTCTTAATGCTCTCGACCTTGCTCCACAAAGAATACAAAGTACCATCGTTAGGACTTTGTGTCAATGATAATATATCTCTTTTGTAATTAAACTTTTACGGAACACAAGAGGCATGGGACGCTGAGCAACTACAAGGAAACAATTATTAACTTTGTCAAACAAATCAAGCCACTCAGACAACATTTTATAGAGCAACAATTTCTAACAGTAAATTATATATCAAATCAGTACCTCAAAATACATTAATTGAAAACAAAACATCAAAATAGAAGTTGTTATAAGATGTTATAAGCTATCAACAATCTATAATAGAATTTATCAAACAAAATAAAATTATGAAATCGACGTCGCAACTATGTAAGATCAAAACATCAATTACCAAATTTTTTACCATAATCTTTCTACTGGAAACAGGATGGAAACACTACTTCCAAAACAGGAACTCTGCACACAACAGAATGAAAACACTATTTGGTGGAAGTAATTGTCGATACGTGTTGCGTTTCCATACAGCCCCAAGTTTCCCACAACTTCAACTACAAAAAACATCAAATACATCAGTTAAAAGTGAATATGTTATAATAACTAATTGGAGTTCAATTAATCAGCACTTACACTGATTCTAGCACACTAAAGCATCCACATATCAAAAAACAATTCACTATCTGTTAAAAAAATCAATTAGCTTTTTCATTGCGAATACATGATCGGTAATCTTCTCTCTGCAGACTCTAACCTGTATCAAATTCAAATTTTAGGAAGAGTCAAATTGTTTCTGACAAAGACATATAAAGGAAAATACAAAAGAAAAACAAAATTAGTTGGGAAGTTCTGGCAGCTTTACACACAAAAATACAAGAATAAACTTGTGGTTCAAGAAAAAAGTGGATGTTTCAGTAAAAAACAATCTACAGACTATTCAGGACCGCTGAGATATATGTATTTGGAGTTTTTGTAAGAAAGAGAATGGAGAAAAAAACACTTTTCTTCATAATAATTTCTGTCTATCATTCGCGATGGCCAGTTTTGGTTCAGGAAGCCATGTCAGGATGATAGTGTTTGGTTAATTGGGAAATGGGAACGATGTTAGGGTTAACACGTTGTTGCAACCGCAGATCTACCACAAAGAAACCGAACACCGTAGATCTAGGTTTTAAAAAATCAAATCAAATTCAATAATATGTATAAGGTTGCAAAAGCATCAGAGTACCTTGTGATCACCAGAGTCGGTATCAAAGACATCAAGCTTGCAAACAAAGCATGGATTTTCCACGGACAAATCTACACCGTCTTCGACCTCTCACCGGTCAACTCCGGGTTTCGCAACATAGTAGTTTCTTGATCTTGTCCACCTCCTTGAAAATGGATCATAACCCGCGTCCCCTTCTTTCAAACCGGTTTTTGTTGGCCTTAATTCAGAAGCACTCTTGAAGTTATCAACCCTGTTTTTTCTGTTCATTTGAGCTAGTTTCAGAGCTTTGGCGTCCTTCACCCACTGTTTGTATTCCTCTTCAAGTGGAGCAGAGTCGCCTACCTTTCGTTTCCGTTTTGTGGGAGAGGAAGAAACGATGGTGGAAGTAATGGTTTTGGGGGTTAGGGTTTGGAAGAAACGGGGATAGTTGGTGGATGGAGAAACGGTACGGCGAATGTAGGAACGATTTAGAACACGCACAAAATAAGAATAGGAAGAGAGAGATAGAGCAGATGAATGAAAAATGTAACCGCTATACAGATGTAGTGGAATGAGGAGAAAAACGTACCCACTGCCAGTGATGACTCAATGGAACAAAATATAAAGAAAAATTAAAATTTGAAATAAATTATTTTCTGTTTTCTAATAAAACCACATAGTGTGTTTTTGGAATAAAAGGACAAAATAGACTTTTACGATAGAATGAGTTTTCTTATATTATAAATTTCATCTCTTTAATAAAATTTAATAAAATGTTTATATTCATCATATTTGATGATGAATTGACAATGCTGAATTCTATTAAAAAAGTTTTAAGGGTGAAAAAAATAAAATTCTGCATATAAATTAGAAACTTGGTTAGGATAAGAGAGTTCATCAAAAAATATTCTCACTAAAATTAATCACAAATGGTAGATATTTAATACTATATTTATGAGATATTTGAACAAGTGGGGAATGAATGTTAGCCACTTAGAAGGTCATGAATATTTAAGAGACGAAATGAAGCAAAACACCTTAGTAGTTGAAATTACTAATGATGGATTATGATACCCACTAAGAGTCATCTTGCAATAGGGTACTCCAAATTGTCTTATCAGGACCTAATTTCACTGTGGCAGTGGGTTTTCATTTATTTTGAATCTTGATATTGTTTTTGCGGTACCATATACAAATGTGTACCTTTCCGTGATTGTTGCGAGTACATAATACTTTTTCAATTCCTATCATAAGTATATATGAGTAGGGCCCTCAGACAATGTGTCCCTACCTACCCCTCCATCAATTGCCTTCATTACAGATAGATAATGCGCCCATAGAATATTTATGTGAGTGACCTAATTCTATCTTGATGATTCAGGGATGTTTCTGTTTTCTATTAGATGACAAGAGTATAATGGAGGAATAAAAACTAAAGAAAGAAACAAAGTTAATGTTGTTTGTAGTAAAAAGAATTCCAAATGATGAGGATAGGTTAAGGATCTCTTTTTTTAATAAGGAAAACAGCATTATTGGGACTTTTGGGATGGTAGTGGTTCCACCGAATGTCTTTATGGTTACAATATTTTAGAGACTAATCTCCTTTTAGGCGTAGTAGATAAGTTTATGACTAATTTTTACTCAGTTACTCCATCCAATCACTATAATCAAATTTAATTTTTTAAATTCATTTAATGTATCTAGTACATGTAAGAATTTTTTTTTTAAATTTGTTTATAATAGTGACCAAAGAGTATATAAAATTATTATGTGTCAAAGGTTCATTAAAATTGGTTTAATAAATAGAGTCAATTCAATATGAACACTTTGTTCATTAACGGATACATGAACTTTCTTTCTTAGACACTACATTTGAGCACAGTCTCTTTACTCATTTTGATTGTTGATCCACATTCAGCAGTCATCCATACTTTATGTTGACTATTTGAAAACAATTTCAATTATCTCTTCTACATATGTGTGATCTTAAATTACACTCATGTACTTTTTACACACGTTTAAAATTTCACCTCATTCAAACTCAAACTTGAATGTTGAATTTCTAACCTTTTGCATGCACCCTCTCTGATCACTGGAGAACAGTAATCATCGTAATGGTAGCTTCACTATAGTGATAATCTTCAACCTTTCATCTATTTCTGTTCAAGTACGATATATTGTCGCCATCTGTGAGAAACATATCCCGATTCTTTCGATTTCTTCTTCAACCTCTCAAGCTTACGTTGTTGCATCACTGTAACTGTTTTTTTGTTACAGTTTCGACTTCTGACAGTCGTAACTATTTTATAACTACTTTATCTATTATCTTCTCCTATAACAGGTTCAAAGTCATTTCGTACTCACATTACAAGTAACGATCTCCAATCCGTGATTTTCACATTTTTCAAAACACAGTTTTGCCGTTCTCGCTCCCATAAACGAAGAACATATACAAAAACAAGATCTTAAAGCTTCAATAGAGATTCTTCAACTGGCCATTCAAGATTCTCGGCCAATTTCTACATTTTAGCATCATACTCTTCCTCCTCCCTAATTGGGACCTATAATGTCACATGACTTTCAATAGTTCCAAGCTTCATTAAAAGTAGTAGATGCAAATGAACCCGTGTTGCAAATTTCAATCTGTTACAATAACAAAGTAGTTGGAGTCGTTGCAACACATCCACTCTGAAGCAGTCCCCAGAAATACTTCTGTCGAGCCATATCACAAGTGTCAAGAGCTCAAGAGTTGGAAATGATGCATCACCCTACCATGGTAACAACTCTCCTGGCCATGACTACAGGGGGAGACAATAATTGTACACCACTAGAGCGTCACCTCCTAAGGAGATCTTCCTTCCATTATCCTTGAAACTGACACAAACACACATCAGTGGGGCATGCCAGTGATTACTGTTGTTGGAAACCATTCATAAAACATATTATTGAATGTTATGTTCCTAAATCTTTGGTGAAGCCTCCAAAGTTGGAGACCTATGACGATTCTGATGATCTTTATGAGCACGTCAATCATGTGGATACCATATTTTATTACCACTAAGACATAAGTGCAGTTAAGTGCAAGCTTTTCGTACTAAATCTCAAGGATGTAGCCATGACCTGGTTCAATACTTTGAAAGACAACCCAATCTCCTCTTGGGGAAAAATTGGTTGATGAATTTACTTCTTACTCCATAATTTCGTAGACGTCATATGAAGATCGAACTCATAGTCATACCTTAGAGGAAGAAAATATGCTTTGGGAATACATTGACAAATTCACCAAAAAAGTTGTAAAATTCAGAGGAGCTAATCACACATTTAAATTCTACATTTTCTATAAGGGATTAAGGTCGGACTACATTTTAAGAGAAAAAATAGGATTGGAGGAGCCAAAGAAGATCCTGATCAATTTTCTTGCTCGAGCGAAGTACTCAACGTATCTCTCATCTAACTTTTATTCACTCAATTTGATAAGGTAATCACACAATAAACACATAAAAGCATTTCACAATGAGTTTGTAAGATTTCTATCAAAATAAATTAAATTCATATTTAAACCCATACTTTTGAGATCTTTTCAAGGTTGTGACGTGGCTTATGTTAGGGTAGGATATTTTGGGATAGTAGGCTTAAACCTTTAGAGTTAGGTACCTAGTTGTCCTGGTGTTATTTGTATCCTTTCGTATCACACTTTTCTTGTTTCACTTAGTACTAGAGAATTTATTTTGTTGGTCCTATTTTTATTTCTTTTTCACACAATTTTTTTTGGAAGAAGCTATTTTTAACTTTTTGTCATCTTTTTTTTTTTTTTGACCAATTTCTCTAGTACCCCAACCCCAAACTTATTCGTTTCTCACTCTCAAGAGCAACCCCAAACTTATACTTTTGGATTAAACATGTAAACCAATTATTTTTACCTAACTCCAAAGAGGGTGGGAATAATTAATCTTTCAGTCAAATGGCTATATAATAAAGGTTATGTCACCGAAAGAATGACTAAGGCTCAAATTGGTTAGCAAGAGATATAATAATATTGAAACATAGTTGCTTAAAAAGGCTCAAATTTTTCATAAACAAATGCCTCGATGTGCATTTATTAGACCAATAGACTCAAATTAGAAACAATGAAAAGTTTAGAAAATAACTAATATACACACACTCTTATAAGAAGGAAAAGTAAACTGTGGAAATATTTGGCTCAAATCTTACTAGTTGATGTATCTGGAGATTGAGTACATGTAGTCAGTTTCCTATTCTTCATCAACTTTCAATATGCACGGGGACTTCACTATTGATTTATTTCATTCATTGTTTTTCTTGTGACTTTTTCTTTTTTTGCTTCATACGGGAACTAGTAAGATAGCAAATTAAAATTGAAAGAAACAAAAAAAAACAAGTTTATTAAATTCAAACAAATAAAAATATAAGGGGAAAATCTTTCTTAAGCTCTGGAAAGTACTCTTCTTTGAATCACAATATAAAATAAAAACACTGAACTAAAATGGAAAAAAATGAAATTCAAACTCTGATGGTTTTCCTCATATTAAGCGATTATTTAAGTTCACTAGCTTGACCCTTTTGTCTAAGGTTCTCCAAGCACCAGGGAAACCTTATTTGATGCTATTTCACTTCCTGCATAGATATTTAACCTTTGTCCATTTACAGTGAAAATTTGAGAATCTTCTAGATCTTGTATTTCTACAACCCCATTTGCAAACACCTTCTTCAAAATAAAGGGTCCAAACCATATTGTTTTTAACTTTCTTGGAAATAACCTGAGTAGAGAGTTGTACAACAAAACTTTTCGTCCTTCCTGAAATTCTATTCTTGCCAAATTATTATCATGATACCTCTTGGTTATTTCTTTATAGATCACAATATTCTCATATTCTCTCTGTCTGATCTCTTATAACTTATCCAACTTCAACAATCTCTTCCTCCCTACTTCTTTTTCATCATAGTTCAAGAACTTGACTGCATAATATGATTTATGTTCTAGCTCGATTGGTAAATGACAAGCCTTGCCATAAATCAACATACACGGTGATAATCCAAGATGAGTCTTAAATTCTTTTCTATAAGCCCATAGAGCATTATAACTTTTTTTACCAATCCTTTTTGGATATATATATATATATATATATATATATATATATATATATATATATATATATCATGTTTTCTACGATCTATTTAAGCTACTTGTTCGAAACTTCTATTTGTCCACATGTTTGAGGATGATATAGTGTGAATACTTTATGCTTCACATTATATTTATCTAACACACTTTCAAGTACTTGTTGCAAAAATGTGTCCTCCCATCACTAATCAACACTCTAGGGACTCCGAACCTAGTAAAAACATTCTTTTTAAAAAAAAATAGAGACGGTTTCTGCATCATTAGCAATACAAGTTATTGCTTCAACTCATTTAGTAACATAATCAACACAAACCAGGATGTAAACATTAGACTTGGATAGAGGAGAGGGACCCATAAAGTCAATTCTAAAACAATTGAAAGTTATAATTTCTATTATACCTTTAAGCGACATTTCATCTGGCTTTGAAATATTACCTGTTTTCTGGAACTCTGAGCATTGTTGCACATATGACTTACAACCTTTAAATAGTGTTGGCCACCAGAAACCTCTCTGGTTATTTTTCTTTCACCACTATGGTGGCCTCCATAAGATGAGCTATGGTTGTGCTATATAATATCTCTAGTTTCTTTACATGAAACACACCTGTAGATCACACCGATAGTACTAACTTTAAACAGATAAGGCTCATATCACCAATAACGATAAGCCTCTTTGTAGAGTTATTTTTTGTGCTTCCTAGTATAGTCTTATAAAACACTTTTTGTGTCCTTATAGCTAGCCATATCAACAAAAAAATTTCATTTAGTAATTTCCATCGAGTACTCGTCTGAAAACTCTTCATTAATGATATTTTCCTTCTTAGCTACTTATTAATTCTCTAATCGAGACAAATGATATGCTACAATATTTTTAACACCTTTTTTATATCTTATTTCCAAGTCAAACTCCTGTAACAATAATATCCACCGGGGTAGCTGTTAACCCACTTTTTGTGAGTTAATACATGCTTTAATCTTTATTTTAGTTAGTACTTAATTTGCTTTTTAATTGTTATTTTATTGCATTTTAGTTATATTTATAAGAATTTGCTTGGAGCATAATAGGTGCTTCCTTTTATGTTTTAATGTGTTTTGTGCTTGAGTTAAGGTTAACTTTGTCGAGCTGAGACAAAACTGCAGTCGTCTGTAACGAAGAGCACAAGATGAAGAGAGAATTTGGACTTGGAAAAAGGGAAAATAATAAGGAAGTCAGCTTGTTTCTAGGGAAAGTGTGGAAGGATGAATGAATTGGAGGGAATATTTGTTATGTTTTGAAGAAATTTCATTTTAATTAAAAGGATAAGGATTAGAGGCACTATAAGATAAAATATAGTACAAAAGTACTCTGCACAACCTGCTGTGGCAGCCTGCAACCTGCTGTGACAGTCTGCCATATGATGCTTTGTCCCCTACAATTATTTCCTTGTACATGATTATTAAATGGGTTTTGTGTGATTTCCTCATATTATGCCCATGATCCAATGCATCACAAAACCCTAGCTCAAGTCCATAAATAAGACGTTGTGGAAATTGAAAAGGGAGTTCAACATTTTCTAAGAAAAAAATACATAAGATACTAAGTGTGAGGAAAATGGAGAGTAGAAAGAGTTTTATTCTTCTCACCAAATCCTGTACCAGTTGCTGAGCTTTGGCACGACTGGAGTCACCTCTTGAAGATTATCCGTCTCAAGAAGTTCTCAAGTCTCTCTTAGGTTTATATCTATTTTTCATTATTTGTTTAGGGTGTTCCTTCTGAGAACCAAGTTTGTAGTTTGTACTCAGCTCATCATGAGCTAAACCTTTTGTAGTTAAGCAATGTGAAGTTAATATTAAGTTGTTTTTATGTTATATAATATGTGATTTAGTGACTTGTTTTATTATATGTTAACTTGTTTATAAATATGGTTCTTTGTCTGGCCAACTTAGGAATAAATAACTGCCTTTTGTTGTGAGAGATCCAACAATAAGTGGTTTTCTAAATAAAAATGGTTGAATGAACAGGACAAATATATTCCCTTACCTAGCTTGCTTAGATATAAGAAGCTGCAACTTTGAGGAACTTAGAATACAAACAGACGCATATTAAGGTTATAAGTGAGACTTAAATATTTGTTCCTTTGCCCCTTATTTGCATGGTTTGATGTTATAGAGATACACCACAAGATCACTATGACCTCACATGTCATGACACTACACATCATCACACATATTTACCTCTTAAATGTTAATGGATCATGGCTCAACTCATTCAATCTTGATATATTTCCACTCTCTCTTTTTAAATTATTTAGATTTGTTTTAAGTGAATGCTGAACACTCACACACACATATTATTTCACTCTCTGATCATGCTTAAAACTCAAATATAGTTAATTGAAAAAATCAACCTAAGTAACTATATCACTCCCTGTGGGTTTGACACTCTTATCTTTATCACTTGATGCAATCAAACATACATGTATACTTATATGTGATACCTGATTAGCGAACAAGTTTTTGTTGCCGTTGCCGGGGAGTGTTTTGTTACATTTCTTATTTTGTAATTTTCACTTTTTTTTGTTGTTTTTAAGCATTTGAGCTT